AGTACAGGAGATTGAACCTAGGGCCACAAACAGCATACACCTAGCAAGTGCTCTACCACTGAGCCACACCCCCCAGCCCTCTAAAAGTATCTCACTCAGTAATTAGGGAAGGCAGCTGTGCTTAGCACTATACACTACTGCTCACTCAGTAATTATGGGGAGAAAGAAGGAAATGAAGACTAGGGACTGCAGAGTCAGAATATGAACAGTATGTAGAAAAATAAAAAATAAAGGGGCTGGAGAGATGGTTCAGCAGTTAAGAACACTGGTTGTTCTTGCAGAAGATCCGGGTTTGAGTTCCAGCAGCCACATGGCAGCTAACAACTGTCCGTAACTCCAGTTCCAGGAGATCTGATGCCCTTTTCTAGCCAGTGTAGGCACTTTATGTACATAGTATTCTCACATATATGCAGACAAAACTCTCATACACATAAAGTAAAAATAAAGAAATGCTTAATAATCACAAAGATGTTAGGTCATACTCAAAGTGCAGTGCATGGCCATAAAAAATAAAAATAAAGCCGGGCGTGGTGGTGCACACCTTTAATCTCAGCACTTGGGAGGCAGAGGCAGGTGAGATCAAGACCAGCCTGGTCTACATACAAGAGTTTCCAACTATTAACAGGCTATACAAAACTAAAACTAGAGAGGGCTAGGAAGAGAGCTCAATCCATAAAGTGTTTACCATGCATGTATGACGACCTGAGTTTGATCTTTGGAAACCATATAAAAAGCCAGGTGTGGCAATGCATGCCTATAATCCCAGCACTGGGAGGCAGACACAGGAAGATCTCTAGGACTCAGTGGCCAGCCAGCCAGGACTACCTGGCAAGCTCCAGGCTTACGACCTGTCTTAAAAAACAAGGTGGACACTTGGGAGGCTGAGGCAGGAGAATCTCTGAGTTGGAAGCCACCCTACATAGTGAGCTTTAGGTTAGCCAGGGCTACAGAGTGAGACCCTGTCTTAAACAAACAAACAAAAAAAAAACAAAATTCAGCCAAGGTTGTTACCTAAGGAGAACCCCAGGCTGACCTCTGGCCTCCACATGCAATGTGTACCCTCCCTCCCTAGAACTTAAAAAAGAAAGGCTCTCTTGGTGATGGTAGAGAGGGAATCATGGAGTAATGCTGCAACTCTATAGTAAGAGGGTCATCTGTGTCAGATGACCACTCTTCAACTTCTGGTACTTTCCCTCATTTCATCACATCACCACTGGTACCACTTTCATTCTAAGCTTTCCGGAAACACCCTCCAAGCGGCAGCTGAAGAGAACAATTCTCCTACTCCAAACAAGGTAAGCAGTGACTCTCCTCCAGAATAAAAAGACACGGCCGAAAGCCCAGCAGCTGTGCCATGAACTCGGCAGCCTGACGTTCACTTGAAGTCTATCACCTGACACAGTCACTTTCTTGGCTGCAATCTATGCGCTGCCAGTGTTTACCTGTGAGACTGTCTGGAGCTGATGGAAAAGAAGGCAAACACACCAAGGCCCAGCTGAGCAACTGATAGGTTTTACATTTTATTTCCAAGAAACGACATCTTGTTTTCACAAAGAAGAGGTAAACCAGACTCAAAATACAGGCTGTCCTCGGGGGTGGCCATAGGGTGCACCCAGCTGTCCAAAATGAATGCCACAGGGGTGCACAAGGTATCAAAAATAATCAACAAATTAAAACAACAGAATCAACCCATTTAACATGTAGTCAGTGCCGGAGTCCCACTGGTACTTTAGACATTGACGTCAGCAGGGCTGGCACCATGGAAGGCCAGCGACGCAGGGCTTGCTAACTCAATCTCTGCACCTCATGGCTTCTCAGGTGACAACCAGAGAATGAGGGCCCAGGGACTCCCCCAGACCACTCCAAGCTGCCACTGCTCTGGAGTCTCTCAGTGTCCTTGAAGCACAATCGTCACGACAGTCTCTTTGCTTTGGAGAGAAAGAGAAAGAAATGAAGGAGCCTGTGCTTCTCCCCTTCCCCCTTCCCTCCCTGCGGCCTGTTTCTTCCCGACAACAACCAGTGTAAAGGGAGAAAATAAGTCAGTGCTTCACACTTGGCCTTGCTGGGAGCTGGACCTGTGGGTGGATGGCATCCTAGCTGCTCCAGCAGCAACAGGAGTCCACCTGCCAGCCTGCAACAGTCTTCACCTTTGGGGCACCAGGGCAGGCTCAGCAGTCCTGCACTGGACCACGAGAGTACATATTTAAATGTGAGGTGGGCAGGTACTCAAGGTTGGCCCTAGACCTCTAGTTGGGCACTGCATGGTTCTCTCAAACTCAACTGTCTATGTATCTGGGGTGTGATGAAGGAGGGTGGACATGTGGGATGTTATTCTCCTAAAATGAGGAAACTACCGCCGAGAAGGCAGTTCCCATGATGCTCTTGTCATTTCTTTTTGTGCATGTGCACGTGTACACAGGTAAGCATGTGTGCTATGCATGTGAGTGTGGAAGCCAGAAGAAGTCAACCTTGGGTGTCCTTCAGGGGCCTTCCACCTAGTTTCCTTGTTTTGTTTTTTGGTCTTTTTGAGATAGGGTCTCCCTGTAGGCCCAGCTGGCCTTGAACTCACAGAGTTCAAATGCGAAGCATTTGAAAAATCCAACGTGACCAGCTTTTGATTTACCCCGTCTGACAAGGAAGACAGACCCCACCCCCACGAGAGTACATATTTAAATGTGAGGTGGGCAGGTACTCAAGGTTGGCCCTAGACCTCTAGTTGGGCACTGCATGGTTCTCTCAAACTCAACTGTCTATGCATCTGGGGTGTGATGAAGGAGGGTGGACATGTGGGATGTTATTCTCCTAAACTGAGGAAACTACCGCCGAGAAGGCAGTTCCCATGATGCTCTTGTCATTTCTTTTTGTGCATGTGCACGTGTACACAGGTAAGCATGCGTGCTATGCATGTGAGTGTGGAAGCCAGAAGAAGTCAACCTTGGGTGTCCTTCAGGGGCCTTCCACCTAGTTTCCTTGTTTTGTTTTTTGGTCTTTTTGAGATAGGGTCTCCCTGTAGGCCCAGCTGGCCTTGAACTCACAGAGCTCTGCCTGCCTCTGCCTCCTGAGTGCTGGGATTAAAGGCATGTGCCACCATTCCCAGCAAAGCATAAAATTTTTAAAAATCAGAAGTTTAAAGAGTATGAGAGCATGCATGGGGTGCCTCCGTTCCATGGACCAGCTGGGGCATTGCCCCTAGGCAAACAGAGCTCCACAGACACTGGAATGATGATGTCATGCAAATAACAGTCCAGGACAAGACTGACAGGGTTCAAGCACCTGCTGACAAATATTCTCTGCAGTGAGACTGGGCAGACCCCTCCCTCACTGTTGCTACCGCCAGGCGTTCCTTTACAAGGCTGTCTTGCAACAAAAGAAGCCTGTGCTTTAATCCCAGCACTCAGGAGGCAGAGGCAGTAAGATCTCTGTGAAATCAAGGCCAGCCAGCCTGGTCTACATAGTGAGTTCCAGGCCAGCCAGGGCAACAGGGAGACAGTCGTCGTCCCAAAGTTATCTATCCATCCAAAGTTACTGTACTATCTAGATCGGAAGTTTCTTTGGAGTCAATGATAATAGGAAATCACACACCGGACCAGCACACTAGTGTGGCAAATGTTTTAGGATTAGCAGAAAAAAGGAGGAGGAATCACCATGGAGAGAAGCAAAGCTTAAGAGTGCTCACATGCTTGTCACCTATTAGTATTTAAGAGGAGGAGGCATAGGGGAGGGGAGGGGAGGAGGAAATACCTGACAAAAGGAAGACTGTTCCCTCCCCTCACCAGCTCCCCTACAAGGAATTTCAGAAAAATCTTTTCCTTTCAGAAGACTCCAGTGTCAATACTATGCACAGCTGCAATTACTCCCGGTACAAATACTTGAGCTGAATGTAGGTTATCTGCCCCAGCTCCAGAGAATGCTTTGTTCAACTCTGGATCCAGCTTCCTAAAGCCTCCTCCTCTCCTCAGGCTCCACAGAGTTTGTAAAAGATCAATACTAAGCTTAAGCCACGAGGTACTATTCTCACTGAGACCTGGAACGTCAAGACAACAACCAGCCAAGGAAGCTGATGAAGGGGGCTACTCTGGGCGAAATCAGTACAGGCTAATCTGCAGGGGCAACCCCATGCTGTCACAGGCTAGGCCTACCTCTCTGAATCTCTGATAACAGCAGTCCCTGCCCTGGGCCCAGATACAGTGTCAGAACTGACAACCAAATGCTTTGACAATTTCCAGAGCCTAGAATTTAAAAAAAAAATTCTCATGCACTAAGGATTAAACCAGCTTTCAACTGGCCCCAGAACATTCAAGGAGAGTTGGTATTTAATTGAGAATTTTCTCTAAAGCCTACACTGCAGCTCACTAAAGACGCTGCCGGCTCTGGCACATCCCTCCCTAAATCAGGTTTTAGAACTTGCTGTCTGTCTCTAGGGAAAGCCTCAAAGCTGCACTTGTTGCCAGAACTGCAGAAACTGAAATGGCGGCCAGCATGCTGTGAGCACGCATATGCCACGGCCGTGCTCTTGAGTCCCCTTCTGCTGCCAGAAGGGGCCAGGGGAAGCCTGTTCAGCCTTTGGAGAGAGGGACAGAGGGCTTCTGGTATTTACTCTGCACAAGTAACTCTATGTAAGGGGAAACAGAGGTGAACTTAAAACATGGGGCTCTTCTGTCTCTTTCTAATGCTTCCAGAAGCTATGACTGTTTAGACTGGTGAGAAGGAACAAGCAGTGAGCGGGGGCAAAGAACGTCCAAAGGTGTCCCCACCCCACACAGACAACAGACTTGCACTCAAAGGTCTGAACGTGACCCTAATCAAATCTGGTTCCCAGGTCATACATTGCTCAGCTCAGAAAAGGAAGTAGGAAGAAAAAAGAAGCGTTCTCACAGCCCAGTGGAGACCTTCACCTTGGCTGTTCTGCAAGTCCAGTACCATGTGAATATGATCCCATGTGGGCCACAAGAGGTAGGGTCGGGAAACGCCACCGCTCTCTCAGGCCTGTGTGATTCCACGCAATTTCCTCTGCTTGGGAAACTAATGCCCAGGGACCCTGTTCGGCACAGCTCGAATGTCACTTCTGCCCAGCTACAGCCAGTGGTCCTTCCTCTGAGTCCCACAGCACCCTGCTGTCACCTCACTCCTCGCCTTGGTGCCCATTCCACTGGATGGCTGTGCTCCTCCAGAACCCACTAGATGCTTCTCTCTCTTCATCTGCATGTCCAGTGTCATGTTCTCATGGGATGACAGGGCGGAAATGCAGAGCAGCCAGACTCTGCCGGAATCAAGGGGGCCTTGGAGGTAAAAACTTGGGGGGCTCCAAGCTAAGTATTAAAGACTGAGTACAAAAGCAGGAATCAGAAAAAGAGCAAACACTTCTTCTTCCCAGGGTCAGAATATAGTTCTTGAGAGTAACCAGCTGAGGCACACTTCCTGCTTAACATCTACACTGGCCAGCTCTGGCTCCGTGATGAACTTGGAGCCTGCTCTCTGGGTGACCAACTGAAACCAGTTACACATCACTGCTGCTTATGAATTAGTATCAGACTCCCGTCCCTACCTCAAGTAGTGTCAGCTGCTGAAGGGCTCAGGAGAAGGAAAGCAATGAACATAACACCCAATTCTTTTACAATTTGGCCTTTAAGGCCTCCTAGCTTCTCTGGACCTAGAGAAGGGTACAACTCAAACCACACATAACTCCTGGTTTCCAATAGCCAGTGATATCCTTAGGCAACAGTTCAAGTCCAACGGGCCTATTACATGTAGTCAACTGATGTCACAACACTAGCTCTGAAACTTTCCCAGAAGCCAGTGCTTCACTAGCTTAGAGACTAAACATGAGGACCACAGCACCCTGCTTTCTGCACAATGTGTCTATTCAATAACCAATATTCCTACCCAGTAGTTCCCTTGTTTTGCTTCAAGAGACAGTCTTTTTTTTCTTTGTCTTTTTGAGACAGGGTCTCCCTATAGCCCCAGCTGTCCTGGAACTCACTATGTAGACCAGGCTGGCCTTGAACTCACAGAGATCCACCTGCCTCTGCCTCCCATGTGCTGAGATTAAAGGCATGCGCCACCATGCCCAGCTAACAGAGTCTTTTAAAACCTACTAGGCTCCCCAAGGATAAAACAGCAGGATTATAGTTGTATCTCTTTAGGCTTAACACTATGTTCATGTTTTTTGAGGGGGGAGGATATACAGTACTGGGGACTGAACCCAGGGCCTTGTGCATGCTAGGTAAGCACTACTGAGCTGAACCCTAGCCCACACTGTGGCTCTTACAGGCAGTCTGCTCTATGTGTTTCTTCAGGTATTCTCCAAGTTGTGAATCTGACTTGCATACATCCTATTTATAACTGTCAACTCAAATGGCAGAACGACGCTGTCTTCAGCAATAGCACCATCTGGTGATCCACACAGCAAGCCATCTGACTGTCTCTAGTCACAGCTTTCTTCTACTGCCCTCCTACAACCAAAGCTCACGCACACACTAAGCTTTCCACCTCCTGGATGTTCAAACTGAAGAGGCTAATGCCACCTCGGTTCTTTCCTACACAATTATTTGAGCTCCCTTCCTCTCCCATTTCTCCTTCCTGTCCTTAACTCACACATCATTTACTTAACTCTATTCCCCAGGCCCTCTCCCCTCCAAAAAATCTGTTGAAGTTTAGAATTGAGTCCCCTGTGAAGGGGTACTAATTCTCAAACCCACGCACCTTTTCTGTCCCGGATAAGGGCACTCCGTTGTTCTTTCACTTCTGAGCTCAGATTATCCACCATCTTATTAATGCAGTTGTCCAGAACCAGGGAGTGGGTTTTAGATTCGATGTCCTTTCGACAAATGGGACACTCGACCTTCCGCTTCATCCATTCACTGATACAGTAGGAGCAGAAACTGTGGGCACAGTTCAAGGTGACAGCCTATAGCGTGAATGAAACACGTGAATCAGTGTTCCTCATTTCCTCAAAGCTAGAACAGGAGCACATTTCCAAGCCAAAGCGAAGGCCACCACAGTCCCATCTCACAAGGCATATTGGAGTCATTCCCCGGGAGTACAGTGGAGTGGAAGCTTCCTACTGAATGGTCTACTTCCTCCCTTCTCAAAGGACATAAACTGATTTGAGGCCACAGATTCAGGCCCCAGGTAGGTCGACCAGCTTTTTGTTCTACCAACTGCCAACATGAGTTACAAATAAGCGGCACTGGACAGAGGCAGAGGGCATGTGAACGTTGTGTGACAAACACACCACCAGTTCTTTTATGAGAACAAAGTTATGTTCTGCTCCTGCTAAACTGAAATCTCAATTTGAATAACCAAGGAGAACACACACTGAACACTGAGCATGCAGAATCATAGGGGTAACATCTCCAAGAACAGTTACAAAACAAGTAGTACTAAAAGTCCATCAAGTATTGCTGGTAAAAATGAACTACAGACTGTAGAGAGGTTCATGACACTGCCTGAACCCCTAGGTAAACTAAAAAGAAGATGCTGTGTGAGACTCTCCTGGTCAGGTTTTTTCAAATGCCAAATTCAGCTTACAAAACTAGAAAAGATCTTACACTGAAAAAAAAAGTAAGATCTTGTTTGCTAGACTGTTATGAGATAAGCTCTTATAACCAAGACTGAAAAGGAAGCATCTAAGACTGACTCTAAGGTAAGCACTGAAGAGGAGGCAGTAGTACACAGAGATCGACATGCTTACCTCTTCTGTGTCTGTGTGGATGCCCAGGTAAGCTAATGGACCACCCATTTCCATACCCCTTTCCCTGTCTTCCTCTGCTGGCTTCCATGGCCTGTCAAAGCAATGCTTCTTCACAGCAGGGAATCATCAGACTAGAAACTATGCAGAAAACTATGACCTGGACTCAAAGTGGATCCATGATAAAAGAAACTGTCTTTCCAAGAAAGAGTCTTCCGAAGGCTAATCGACCGAACCTCCCTGGAGACTGCCACAGACAAGGAAGCCTGTTTCAAAGGCATCTAAAAAGAACTGCTACTTAACAGCCTAAGTTTAACACTCTTAGTCCAAAATGAAATTCTTCACAAATGGAATTAATGAAAACTAAAAGAACAGGTACAAAAATATGACAAAGTAACAAATGGCATGTCCTGAAATATATTCAGATTGGTCCCTGAATTCCCATAGTGACCGCACAATCAATGGCATTCACCACCTGCTTCAAAGGCTGCACTACAAGCCTGCTCCTAGCACTGTGCCCACTCAGAGTAAGGAAAGAACAGCTTCACATTTCTAATGCTATGTGGCCCTGGCAGACGTTTACTACAGCTAAAATGCTAAATAAATATTTAAGAAGAAAAAAGGAGAGTGAAGGGAAGGAAGACTCCCTGCAACAGCACTGCCTGCGGGGCTCCTGCACCACTGAGGCTTGGTATGGGTAGGAGGGGCACCGTTCATACTTAACTCGATGAAGTACTCTGAGCAAATGATGCACTGGAGCTCGTTCTCCAGCACATCATTCATGTGGCTAAGAACTTCCTCCTTCTGGGCTTGCACCTTCTCCTTCTCCTCCTGCAAAGACACACGGTACCACCTGTCATTAGGGCAAACCAGCGGGACTCAGAGCAGGACAGGGAGCGAGGTCAATGAGTGGAATAGGATCCCGAGAAGCCTAAACTAAAAACTCCCTCTGGTGCAGCTACAGGAGAATGAAATGCCTTCCCTTAGGGTGCTGAGGCTTCCCATTCCTAATACAGAACTCTAAGCTTATTTTCTTTCCTCACTTGTTATGGTCAAAACGTCTGCATCTACCCAAAATTCCCAGTGAAACCTAACCCCCAATGGGACAGTATTAAGAGGTGAGGCCTTGGGGCTGGAGAGATGGCTCAGTGGCTAAAAGCACTTGCTGCTCTTCCCGAGGACAATTCGGTTTCCAGCACCCACATCCAGCTGCAGCTGCAGGAGGTCCAATACCCTTTCCTGGTGTTCAGGCACCAGTGTGTGCGCACACACACACACACACAGAGGTGAGGCACTGAGTGTGGTGGTGCATGCCTGAAGGCACTCAGGACTCTGGAGGCAGAGGCAAGGTGATCTCTGTGAGCTTGAGGCTACCAGTGCTGTGTAGTAGAACTGGTGGCCTAAAAAAAGGCTAAGGCACTCATTTTCACCTTTCATCACGTGAAGACACAGCGAGAAGCATCATCTATGAACTAAAAACCATGTCCCTGCCAGACATCACATCTGCCAACACCTTCAAGTTGGGACCTCCCAGCCTGCAGAACTTGGAAAAATTATTTTATTTTATTTTATTTTATTTATTTATTTTTTTTTTGGTCGTTTTGAAGCAGGGTCTCCCTGTAGCCCCAGCTGTCCTGGAACTTACTATGTAGACCAGGCTGGCCTTGAACACACAACAGAGATCCACCTGCCTCTGCCTCCCAACTCCCGGCTGGAAAAATAATTTTATAGAATTAGTTAGCTATCTAGATGATGGTGTTCTAACTCTAACAGCCTGGATGGACTAAAACACTACCTTTTCAGTGTTTGCATTATATGCACTTTTTGTTTCTTTTCCTGAAAGTAGTCAAATGGAAGAAAAAAAACCGGTAGCCCTGAAATATTCTACAGCAAGTTGTAATCTGAGTAACAAAACCCTTCCCCCAAACTAAAAAGATACAAAAGAAGATTCAAAGAACACTAGGGAGAGGCAGGAGGCTGAGTTAGTTACAAGGTTCCTGGTGCTTTGGCAGCTGCCTCTTCTAGAATGTTAGAGTAATACCTATATCCCCTGAGGCAGGAGGAGGCTGGAGGGACCGCCTCCTGAGGTGGGCTCAGGCTCTAAGCTCTGTGGTGCTTGCCACTTCCCATTCTGTTCTTGTGTTTTCCCCAGGAGTCCAGAACACCTGTGGACATGTTTTTAGAAAGGATCCTAGTTATGCACTTTTCAAGTATTCAGTTAGGTTAGTCACTTCGTCCCCTAGACAGAGGGCAACAGGAGTCCCTAAGTGGGAGAAAACTCCATTTAGGAAAATTCCAAATGGTTGGTTCAGTTTCCATTTTATTTTCTCTTCTAATTAAAACAGACTGTTAAACTGCTTGGGGCAGGAAGGAAATACAGACTCATTTCTAAAGTTAAGTTCTCCCAGAATTTTTAAGCAACTGGATTTGAAAATATGTGGTAAGGACAGGCATGGTGGCGCACCCCTCGGGAAGCAGAGACAGGCAGATCTCAGTGAGATCAAGGCCAGCCTCATCTACACAGTGAGTTCTAGACCAGCTGGGGCTACAGGAAGACCCTGTATCAAAAAGCGAAACAAAAAGTGGTAGAACCAAGTGACAGCAACTGTGCAGTCGGATCAGGAGTTCAAGGTCATGTCTGGCTACATAGCCAATTTGAGTCCAGCCTGGGGAATGAGATCCCATCTCAAAAATAAATACACAAACATAAAATAAGTAAAGTATTCTGAGTTCAGGCCAGCCTGGGATACATAGTGAAATTCTGTCTCAGAAAAAAAAAAAAAAGAAATAAAATGTACTGGTAGGGGTTGCAGCTCAGTGAGAGAGAGCTCGCCTAGCATGTGTAAGGCCTAGATCCATCCCTAGCACAGAGAGGAAAAAAAAAAAAAAAAAAAAGGACCGTTTTTTTTGCAGGTCTGGAAGAAGGTACCAAGGGATTAACAAAGGACAAGGCTATCAAGCCAGCTGAGGCAGGGGCTGGGGTAGCAGCGCTAGTCCCTTGCACCCCACTCCAGTCATGTGAAGTGGTGTGAGATGTGCAGTCTGATGCAGCCCTCAGTTCAGGTCAGAAAACTGCTGACCTGGGGCTGGAGAGATGGCTCAACAGTTGAGAACACTGACTGTTCTTGCAGAAGACCCAGGTTCGAATCCCAGCACCTACATGGCAGCTAACAACTGTCAATAAGTCCAGTTCCAGGGGCTCTGACAGACTCTTCTCTCCTCCTCGGGCACTGCATGACATGGGTGCACTTACCTACATGCAGGCAATACATGCATACACATAAAATAAAAATAAAAGCCAGGCATGGTGGCGCATGCCTTTAATCCCAGCACTCGGGAGGCAGAGGCTGGCAGATCTCTGTGAGTTCAAGGCCAGCTTGGTCTACGTAGTGACTCAGGATAGCTGGGGCTACAGAGAGACCCTGTCTCAAAAAGACCAAATAAATAAATAAATAAATAAATAAATAAATATTAAAAATTAAAAAAGAAAACTGCTGATCTGTAGGCTAGGTCAGCCTATATATGTGTTCAGTTTGGACTTTATGATATTTTAAAACAACAAAAAAACCCTGAATTTAGACATGTAAAACATCGTATGATTTCCTATAAATATGTATATTTTTTATGGTTATTTGAGTTTAAAAAAAAAATGGAACTTGTTGACAATACTTGAAAATCGGGGTATTTCACTGAAACACCTGGACCTGGACCTGCTGTGGAAGTCAGATCTGACAAAACTGGGCTTGCATTTCTGGCTAGGAAGCACCAGTCCTCATCCTCACAGCCCCTCCGGGCTCTCATGCTCCGGCTTCTTTACTCACTTTTATGACTGCTGACCCTGGCAGGCACTTAAATCTGCATCCACAATTTAAGAGTTCTACAGATCTGATGGGAGAATTACCGAATGAAGGAAGGAGCTACACAGCTTACTTAGTCTGCATTAGTGACACACCCTGAATCAGTCTGATAGAACAGAATGGTAAAGGATAGAATACAGGACGTGTAAGTCCATCCCAGCATTTAGTTTCTGGAAAAGGAAGGAAATCAATGCTGCCTATAGGTTTGAATAACTTTACAGATTATTTCCCCAGAGGCCAGGGACAGACATAATCTCTCTCTTCATTTACCATAGCAACCCCACACTGTTGGAAATGCTGAGTTGTATGTACTAACCAAATTCTAAACCTTCATCTTCTTTCCAGTACCTTGGTCTGCTCCAATTCTTTGTTCTTGGCTTGAATGATTTTCTCAAAGTCCTTCCTGCTGCGATTTAGCTCTTCCATTAGAGCCCGATGCTGCAGAAACAGCAGACAAACCATTAGGATAAGCTATACACCAACCTCCTTTTAGCCACACCCTTTGCTTCCTCCTCTGGTAAGGGACTTTGGTTCAGAGACCAATGAATTCACACACACACACACACACACACACACACACACACACACACACACAGCCTTCTTTGTATTCAGGATACGTATCTCCCTGATGCTTTTTTTCATGGAAGGGGATAGGCAGGGAGGGAGGCTATCATATCTATTAGTCCCTTTGGAACTAACAACCTCAGTGGCCAACCAAGCTGCTATAAGTCAGATGAGAGTAGCAGGTCAAATATGGCAGGTTTGGAAAGGGAGCCAATAGGACCACACCCTTCAGAATGAGCTCTATACTGGGCATGGTGGTGCAGGCCTTTTAATCCCAACTGGTCTACATAGTGAGTTCCAGGCCAGCTGGGGCTACAGGGAGACCCTGTCTCAAAAAGATGCAAAACAAAAACAAAAACATAAGGAACTTTATTAAGAGAGTGCCTTGTGACCAGAGGCAGGGGTGGCATGATCAGGCCATGGGGTAGGGGAGCACTGTGAAGAGCATTAGCAGAGATACAGCATTATGAGGTACAAGAGGGGACTGAGAATTGAGAGCCTTCCCCTTTCAAATATCTGGAGAGGAGCTTCATTAGGAGAGAGAGCTGCAGGGGGGGAGAATGGCAGAAAGCCACCATGCACGGCATGATGGAGGTGGGATATGACATGAAGAAAAAGCCTTCAGGAGCTGGAGACATGGCTCAGTGGTTAAGAGCACTGGCTGCTTTTGCAGAGGATCGGGGTTTGATTCCCAGCATCCACACCTCAGCTAACAACTGTCTGTAACTCCAGTTCCAGAGGATCTGATACCCCCTCCTGACCTCTGTAGGCACTGCATGACATGGATGCACATACATACATTCAAGAAATATTTATGCACTTAAAAAATAAAATTTTAAAAAATATTTTATTATATATATATATATATATATATATACTTTTTTGGGGGGTGGTCTATTTCATTACAGCTTTAACATATTCACTAGCACACTCCAGAGCAAGGACACATCTCTTTCAAAAGTGGATGTAAATTTTTAGGTTCACAGTTGAATTAACCTGGCTTATTTATTATTTTTATTTTATGTGTATGAGTATATTGCCTGCATTTGTGTAAGTGCACCTGTGTCATGTAATGCCTGCAGAGGTCAGAAAAAGGCCAATCCTTTGGAACTGGAGTTATGGACAGTTGTTAGCTGCCATGTGGGTGCTGAGAATCGAACCCAGGTTCTCTGCAAGAGCAGCCAGCACTCTTAACCACTGAGCTATCTCTCCAAAAAATTTTTAAAAAGTCTTCAAAATCCCACAAAGAAAGGTTTTCAAGGGTGTCAGGAAGTCCAGACCACATGATCTAGTTTGCAGTACTGGGTAGGACCATACATTAAAACCCCAATTGCAACTGGGGATGGGCTGGGTTTGCCTACCCCCAATACCTGTGTGCTTTAACCTTCACAGCCTGGGACCAGTCTGGCAAGGGGTATGTCCTGAGTTCTGAGAGAGAGAACGGTAGCTAGAAGGTCTGTGATCTAGCACAAATCAACTAAGAACCTTCCCTGCTTTCTGTAGGATCTGATTCTGTATGTTTGGCTTGGAGCCAAGGGATATGCATCTTACTAAAAAAGCACCAAGTGTTTTGAGACGCAATGCTTAAAAACTAGTAAAACTTTGAAGCTATTCAGCACTAAGAGGAATTTTTAAGAATACTCAGAGGGGTCTGGAGAGATAGCCCAGTGGTTAAGAGCACTGGCTGCTCTTTCAGAGGACCTGGCTTTGGTTCCCAGAACCTACATGATGGTTAACCCTTTGACACCTCAGTTCTAGGGAATCTGACATCATCTGGGCTCCATGAGCATTGCATGACATGGGTGCACTTACATACATATAGGCAAAACACTCATACACATAAAAGTAAATAAATAAAATTTAAAAAATAAATGAAAAAAATTAAAGAGAATACTCAGAGGGAAATGGGATTCAGGAAAACCAGGTGTTTTTTTTTTTTTTTTTTCAATGAAATAAATTATTACTCTTCTATAAATCCTATACTACAGGAAGGCATTGTTGTGTGAACCTGGCCAGTGCCTTCTGGAAGCTGGCATGTTCAGGAGCCAACTGGATTCACTGTGACTGACTGCCTACACCAAATGTCAACAGGCTCCATATCTATGAAACATAATTTCTGGGTTACAAGTGTGGTTCAGTGGTAGACCACATGTATGCAGGAGGCCTTGGGTTTGACCCAAGGAAAGGAAGGACTCAGAAGGACACAGGAGGAAGAAAGAAGGAAAGGAGGCAAGCAAGTCAGAAAGTCAACTGTGGGGCCTTCATGCACAGGAACAGCTGACACTCTGGACTCTCACCCTGAACCCTTTCTAAAACAAGTAAGGCTAAGTGTTTCTGTAAGGATATTAGTCAAGAAACACGTCTATATACACGTGGCTCTAAGAGCAAAAGAGTCAGAAGGCCTGCATCTGCATCTTAACCACTGATTTATGTTCCTTACCTTTCTTACCCATAAAATGGAAAAACAAGTGACCCTCCTACCAGTGCTGATAAGAAAATAGGCATCCAGAAAGGTCGTCAGAGCCTGTATAGATGCCTGGGAAAGAGGACAACTTCAGAGGACCAGCAGGGTCAAACAGAAATCAATTACCACTGGAGCTGAGACCAACATGATGGTATAGAAGCGACTACTGAAGGCATGACCCAGCTTTCCTGTCTGTCCTAAAGCAGGGTGAGGTGCTGTAGGTGCAAGAGAACCTGGTGAAGCCTAAAGACTTCCAAGGAGCAGAATCCTATTCTCCAGCCAGTTTCAAAACAACACTTAAATATTAGTTTAAAAATACCCATGTAAGAGCTGGCGATATGGCACAGTGGGTGGGTGGGTAAAGATGTTTGCCACACAAGCTTGATGACTCAAGTTTGATCCCTAGAACCCACATGGAAGGAAAGAACTGACTCCCAGAAGTTGTCCTCCATATGCATACTGTGGCATATGAGTGCCCACACTCATATATACACACAACATACAATTCAATAAAAATTTATAAAAATACTCCAGTGGGAGAGGTGCTTGCCTTCCCTACAAAACAGACAAACTCAAACAATAAAACTCCAAAATTATAGAATTAATTTTCATCTAATTCTTTCCAAAGCTCTTTGTGCAACTCTCAAGAAAACTGAGGCAGGCTCCCTTGCACACATATAGTTCAGCACTGCTAAGGCAGGGAGACAGGTGCACAGTAAACAGACATAAAGAGGACCCCAGAGCGGATGTGTGTGTGATGTGCTCACCGCGCTCAAGGTTTTAGCCGGCTCACTAACCTTTTGACCAAACTTGCATCAAACTACCAATCATATCTAAGGATAAAAGATGAAGCAGCCTTTAAAGATGCAAAAGAATACATAAAGATAGCCAATTGAGAAGCAGTTAAGTTTAATAATTACAAAAAGGCATTTAAGGAATTTTTATGCTGTTACTATTCTGCTAAATCTATAGGTTGTGTTTTAAATTACACATTCTTAACATTCTCCAGTGTTTCCTAGATGGTCACAGCTTCGAGATCTCTGAGGACCAAGCCACAGCTAACATTCTCTAGAACGTGCCCTCTATTCTGGAAGTCCAGCCTCAACCCCAGAAAGCCTCCTAATTTCTACAGGCTCTGTTCCACCATCACCAGGGCAACTCTGCTCAGATGGAGATGTAAGCTTTCATGCTGAGACCTGACATATCTGTGAGGTTCCAAACCTCTAGCCTGATGGTGCGAGCATCTGCCACCTGCTCTGTTTGCAGACTGTTGATGCCACAGAGGCTTGGGCTAAGAGGCAGAGGCCATTGACGGCCATGTGAGGCCTGGCTGTTCCCCACACACAAACTGCAGTTTCTGTGAAGTGGAAGAGGTTAAGCTACCTCCTGCAAAGCCTGGGTCAGCTGTTGCTTCAAGTCCTCTTCTCCTTGCTCCTTCTCCAACCCCTGGAAAGTCAAACAAAACGGAAGGTTTCCCCTCAGACAACTGGAGAGAGAACAAAATCCTGCAACAAGCAGAGCAGAGCAGTAAGTGTGACATCTGGGAACTGCAGGGTGGGGAGCAGGCAGACAACTCCATTGTACCCCAAGCTGTTATCAGGAATGTTTGAGCAGCTTTATTTGCTCGCCCTCCCATGCTTTTCCTTTCGTTCACCACCCCATCTCTTCATTCCTAGTCACTGCCACTTTTAGCCAAGAGCTGCTCCTCGTCTCTCTGTGCCTGAGCTCATGCTATGTCTCTTCCACGAGTCATGCACATCACCATTAACCTATGTCCAGCCTCTTCCACAAGAACCATGTTCTTGCTTCTTCAAGAATTAATTACCTAAGGGAGGTGGTAGATTTCTACTCACTTATCATTTAATATATCAACTTGAAATTGTCTAGTTTATTTGATTTTGATATTGTTCTTCCAGTCTGTTAATGTAACACATGTTGTCTCTTCAGCAAGATAAACTACTTAACAATTCAAAACATTGGTTAGGCATTTTACAAACCAAGCAGAACTCAGGCAATATGGGTGCTCCAAAAACACAGCATGAAGCAGCAAGGCTTACCTGGGCTTCTAAACAAGGGGAGGGAGGGATCCTAACTCCCAGGCTCAGCGACAGAGGGAACAGCTCATACACAGGACGAGCTAGGCCTCAAGAAATTTATACATAATCTGAAGAAATTCTCTAAACTACTTTTCACATTAACTTTTTGCTACAGAGACTTTGCAACTGTATCTTGAAGCACACAGAACAGCTGCAAATGTTAATCACTGTTTCTGAACACACTATCCTCTAAAGAGAATTCTGCACTGATGAAGGTAAGACACTGAACAGTAGTTATTACCACCCTCTGTTAATTCCAAATGCTCTGGGCTGGATAAGGGAAGCAAAAGCTATAGACAAGCAATCAGCATACACCCTTAAAGCACCTATTTAATCCATGGCCTTTGCTAATCCTACAAGCTCAAGGCAATAGCAAAGATTAGAAGGAAATCTATAAATTTTTCAGAAATAAACCAACACTACTAGGGGCCATTCCTTGCCCTGAGAGACCCTAGCAAAAAATAAAGAGACTTTTCACTTCAGTTGTGATCAGTTCTTTGTTCTAAGTCAACAATGGGGAATTCTTGACATTCAACATTACCTGAACAGCTAGCTGGGTGGGAGTGACATGGGTCCGCCACACGGGAACTGGCATTTTGAGCAGGGACAGGATCAGCTCCAGTCTGAAGCTTTACAAAAAGTTTGCCATCTAAGCAAATGGCTTGCAGATGACAACAGGCTTGGTCTTCCCTTGACACCACTAAGCTATGTTACTTTACATTCCCATTAGTCGTGGTTCTGCCTCCTAATAAAGGAAGGTGGCTTACCACTCAACCAAACAAGAGTTGTCAGTGCCTGTCCATTTGCAAGCTGGTTGCTCAAGAGAAACTAAAACATTTTCCGTTCATTTTATACCTCCTAGGCTTCCTACAGAGCTGATAAATCTCATAGTTAACCTGCCAGGTATAAGGACAGAGTAACCAGTTGACTGGCACCAACTTTGGGGCTATTATGACTTGGCTTTGACCAGAGTATAGGTAGCCATGAGGCCAACTGTGGGCTTAACTGGAGTGCACTATGGTTTTGTTGCATCCTGATCTTCACCCAACTTCTCCCTAAAGTTACCCGGGATCTGAAATACTTCAGCTTTCCATCAGAAATCAGTTACAGCCCAGCTGGCTCTTCCAATCACTTTACCCATCTTGGCACCCTATCTGGCTCCCGATGTGATCAGCGTGCTGAAACTGTAACCCTTTTCAAAACTTCTTTATCTTAGTTTTCTGCTCTCACTCTGTCTCCTGTTCTCAGCATTTGGGCCCTGGTTCTGAGGCAACGCCAGTCAAAGGTTGTCAAAGCACTTGCCCTCCCACCCAAGCAGGGCACCCCTGCCTTCCCTGTATGCTACCTGGAGGTGCTGCTCCTCCTCCTGGAACGTCCTCTCCAGCTGCTCCACGCGCGCCTGCTGCTGAGCCTGCGCTGCGTACAGCTGAGACTGTAGGTCCTGCAGTTCCTTCTCCATTCTCACGATTTTCTTGGTGTTCCCCTTTCGGGTCTGCTTTTTCACATTGAGAACAGCTACTTGTTTTTCATGCATCTGGGTTTTCAGCTCCACAATCCTGGACATGGTCAACTTAAACAGCTCTAGGCTGCTCTGAGATGTTAAAAGGTTTGAGGTTTTCTGCTTCTTATGATGAAGCTCAATGACCTTTGGAGGAACAGAGTAAGTGTGAGACCTGGTGGTCTTCTCACTTGCCTCAAGAGAAGTCAATTTAGAATAAAAATATCCCAAGGGCTCACTTGTCCCTTCGCCTTTCCCATTTAACTTCACTGACTGACCAGGTACACTAGACACTTTACTTATTTTGCATGTGAAATGTGAAGGGCCCTCAGCGCCAAGACTCTCCAATCCATCTAAACTGAATTTCCTTTTCGTTCTCAAGCCTTTGTTCTTTTCCGCCGTCTGGTCATTCTTTGGGGCAAGATAGAGAGACATCTTCTCCCAGTCTTCCTCAGTCACTTCATACTCGTACTCCGCATTCTCCTTGTTTTCCAGAGGCACTCCAAGCTGGATACGGTCTCCCTGATGGATGAAGTAAGCCCGTAATGGTGCCAGACGCTCTCTGTTCAGCCAAACACCATTCAGACTCTGGGGAAAGGGAAAGAAAAACAAAATAAGCTCACGATTTTCCTCCTCTTAATGGAATTTCTCTCTTGCTGCTGCAAAACCTTCTGCCTTTTTAGAAGAACCCTTGAGAACAAATAGAAACGAAGGGTTCATAAAACCACCATCTTTGAAACAGCACTCTGTAAACGGTGCTTTGGCTTTTTACCACCACCATTTCACATTCATGCTTCCGCAGAGAACTGCCTCAAGAAGAGGCAAGAATCACCTCACCGCTGGTGGATGAATGATCAAAACACATGCAATAGCACTAAAGGAAACTGAATCAGTCCTATTCAGGAGTGGGGAAAAGTGCTTTAGGGAGGGAAGCAGCATCTAATGGCTAAGTTCAGGAGGCAGTCTTACCCAGGAAAGTAAGTTCGATTTCTGGATGTTGCCTTCAACACAATGAACAAGCACTTCCCAGTCCATAAAAACCAAAATACAATACATATATATATATATAATAATTTATTTTTATTTTATGTGTATGAGTGTATTGCCTGCATGTATGTGAATGCACCCATGTTGTACAATGCTGCCAAGGTCAGAAGAGACTGTTGGATTCCCCTAGAACTGAAGTTAAGTACGGTTTTTAGCCACCATGTGGGTGCTGGGAATCAAACCCAGGTCATCTGCAAGAGCAGTCAGTGCTCTTAACTG